GCCGTCACAGAAAAGATAATTACAGCTACATATATGGATTTCTGGAGACGAGCGGCAAAAAGATCGAGAATAGAAAAGATGACAAACAAAAAAATTAGAGAGATAATGCAGATAATTAAGTAGAATTATAAATTAAGATAACGTTCTGGTAATTACAGTTAATAGGGTATCGCCTTTAGAAAATCTAATTGTTTTGATTGTCCCTATTTAAATTCCTTACATGCATTCTTTTAGGAGAGCTCATTCCCCTGGATCCTCCAGGAAACCTAAGACTTATCGAATTCGTAGAGAAAGATGTTCTAATAGAGTGGGATGGCATAGAACCAGCGTCTGTTCGAGGCACTTTTAAAGGATACTTGGTAAGAATATGGAACCACGTTTGGAGCCAAGTCTATGCTATTCCTCCCGAAATGAACAAAACTGCCGTTCAGTTCTATCCATTTTCAAGAAATTTTATTACCGTAGCTGTCAGAAATGATAAGTATGTAGGACCAAGAAGCAATGCCATTAGTTTTGATGCTCCACAAACAGGTAAATATTGTTACATTTTTTAGTGGATTCTGGGATTAAGTGAAGCAAACGTGGTTTATCTAATTTTATTTTCACTCCAAAAACTCACTAAATTACAAATATCATAAATTCTATTTACATTAATAATTATTGTCTACAACTCACATTAATATTGCTTACAAATTTTGCAAAATTTTGCTAATACTGATAATCTAATGCCGACTCGGCGGGCTTATATTAACAGTTCATCTGTTCTAAAAAATAGCCAGCGGAGGGATGGAGCCCGAATTTCGCACGATAACTCGAAATTCCAGAAAGTTACCGCGACTAAAACGGCGATAGAAACGGTGCGTGAAACATTTGGGTGAAAAGAATATTCTCGGCTTCCCAAAGAACAGCATCGCAAATATGGACTTGTAATACAACAATATCAACCATATGTATTTGCTGTTAAACAGTTTAAGATACATTTCGCTTACACCTTCATAACATATCGACGGTGAGCAGGCAATATGTCCTATCTACAAAAAGTGTGTTTTACAGGAGGAAGAAAAAATCATTTTATTTTAAAAATATTGATATAGGGACGAATAAAAAAATACGTAATTACTTAAATTTTATTACGTAAAAGTGAATGTTAACAAAAATTGATTTACTTGCATTATACAATTAGTGAGTCAGTTAGGATAATTTGAAATAAAATATTTTGTTGCATAGGACTCTATGCATTATGATTATATAATACAAATCAAGGTAAAAAGAACCTTTTTATAACAGATAAACCTAAATAATAAAAAGTTTTTAATGATTCTAAACAATATGTGGCATAGAAAAAGTGACAGTCCGATGGAATGACACTTTTTAGTTCTTGTAGATGTTGCCACTTTAATTTGGAAATTTTACATCGTTCAGTGAATAATGCAGGATATTTGGATATTGTGAGGATATTTTTTGGTCTTACAGGAAGATCAGTCCAATCTGATTCCGTATAATCAAGTTTTACCTTAATATGTCTTAACAGATTGTAGAAAATAGATCTTATATCCACAACAGTTGGATCGTTTACTATTCGCCCTGGACGAATAGAAGAATATCTTCAAGTTTTGCTATATTCCTTAAAAAACGGAAATCACAATGAATAGCCTCGTATGGGTTTGGAAGCTTTCTAGCTTCTTTTGTGATAGATATGTAATCACTTTGAACTTTAATTTCTCTATTCTTTAATTTTCTCTCAATGCATGCATTCACAGAATCCACCTCCATCTGTGTATGCTCAACGTCTAAAAATTTCTGATGTATTGTTATGTTATATAACATACTTATATTTAAAAGGGCATTGGCCATAACTTCATTCCGATTCCGAACAGTGCATCAATTCAAAAAAATTGTTATAGGTTTGTTTTTCTCTGTTACACAATACCTTGAAAGAAAATCTAGTAAACAAAAAGTAAATGTTGATGCAACAAGCTGATTATTCTGATCTTCAGAAAACCAATAGCAACTGGCATGTTTTGTAGCCAAATTGTTTACTGTCAAGTTGTGGCAGGGGCAAGCTTGGTCTTGTAATTAAAAGCGTTTGTGTGTGTAAAGGGAGCTAATTTTACGACCTGAAAATCTAATTGTATTGTGAACTGATTTCCTAACTGAGCTTCACGTTTGTCTTTTTCCATTTCATCTCTCGAGCCCTGTTTACGTTTTTGATGAGCTGCCATGCCTCTTCTGTTATGTTTTCAGTTCGGTAGCTTATTGGGAAAAACTGAAATATTTTGTTGACTAATTATTTCTGAAAACTTCTTTCTGCCAATAGACCAAACGCTTTCAGCTTCGCTTTTACTAAGATACAATTTAAAAACATCAGAAATTGTATGAAATATGGGTTCCAAATATAGTTTAGATGAATGTTTTCGAGCGTAGTGTGACGGCATTTTAGGCAGTTCATTTAAAAATTTTTGGAGGAACTTAATTCTCCTTGCTAGTTCTGGTCGATCACTTACTTGTTTATTGCGCTGATCTGCGAGACGAGGGATGGTATATGAACTTTGTTAATACCATCTCTGAACCATTTTGTAATTGATACCAAGCGTATTCAAAAACATTTGTCGACAAACTTGCTTTACTCCTTTTCCATTATTTAATCTATACTGAAACGTAAAATTGCGTCTGGAGTCAATACGATCTACAGTGTTTCTCTTTTTCTCAATTTTTATCACATGAGCAGTCACAAATGACTGTTTTTGTCCACTGAGCCAAAAAATAATACCTCAGTGGAAGGTGCGTTCATTGACTTATTGCAGGTTTCCATCGAATTTTGTATTTTACACATATTCACTAACTTCTTTCCTCGGTTCATGATTCCTCTGGATCATTCTGTAATATAAATAATAGCAGTCACCCCTAATTTATGTATAAAAAAGATTTCAATTTATAATATGCGTAAAAACAAATTGTCCTAACTCCATTTGATACGTTTAACAGACTCCTACTAGAACAATTATTTTCTGACAAATTGTCCTATCTACATAAGTATTAAATTCAACGTTATTTTTAATTAAAATAAGATTTCTATCCAACTCCATATAAATATTACAATGCTCACAGAACTTAAGAATCAATACATACCTTTTTCTAGTAAAACAGGTCAATATTTACAGTGATTATACAAAAATAATTAGCACAATGTGCACAGCCACTTCACGCGAATTAAAATGGACGTTAGATAGGACATTTAGCATTCCAAATGGTGTCTGTTTTCAATAGACCAAATTGAAATGCGCAGGTGCCGAGACAATGTTGTCGATTTTCGCAAATATTCCTTAATGGGATAATAAATAGTCACATTTAAAATTGTTTCGACCAAAAATATAAAAATCGACAAAATGCGAGATAGGACATTTTGCCTGCTCACCATCGATATGCAATAAAAACATCATTTATTTCGTAGATTCCAAATCAAAACAAGTACATATTCTTAACTACTATATAAAAAAACAAACACAGTGTAATTTCTTTCATCTAAAACCCAACCTAACAATCAACAAATGATTGTATTTATAAAATACCATGTGAATACGAACAGTTGCTATCTTAAAAGCACTATCAGAATGCAGAATAGATCACAGGTATGCAAATATTCGAAATATATACGAAAATGCGACAACAACCGTTAACCTCCATTGCATGACTAAGAAGATAAAAATTGGCAGAGGGGTGCGGCAGGGAGATACCTTGTCGTCAAAACTATTTAGAATAGTTATTTAGTACGCGTTTAAATGGCTAGAGTGGGAATCAAAGGGTATTAGCATCGATGGAAAGATATTCAATCATCTCAGATATGCCGATGATATTGATCTCATCTCACAGACAACTTAGAAGAAGCCAGAGTTATGCTACAACAACTACAGCAAGTAACTCATAAAGTCGGTTTTAAAATCAATTATGGAAAAACAAAAATGATGACCAATCTCGTCCCCAATGAGCTAATAGAAATCGAAAAGTCGCCCATAGAACTTGTGGAAAAATATGTGTATTTGGGTCACGAAATAAGGTTAACGCGAGATAACCAAACATGCGCGCTACTCAGAAGAATAAGTCTGGATTGGGCTGCATTCGGAAAAATGAGAGACGTATTTAAAACAAATATACCGATCCATTTAAAAAGAAAAGCTTTTAACCAGTGCGTTCTGCCAGTCCTCACATACGGAGCAGAAATCTTAACTCTCACAAAAACCTCAGCCGAAAAATTGAGGACACAACGAAAGATGGAGAGATCAATGCTTGGAATAAGCTTAAGAAATAGAATAAGAAACGAGGAAGTTCGTAGAGTGGAAGACATTATCGAACATATTACAAGGCAAAAATGGAGATGGGCAGGACATGTTGCAAGAATGAAAGATGACAGTTGGACAAAAAAAATGCTTGAGTGGAGACCACGAGCTGACAAGCGAAGCCGAGGAAGACCCCCAACGCGATGGACCGACAACCTCAAAAGAATCGTGACCAATTGAATAGCAGAGGCGCAGAACAGAAGCAGATGGAAAATTCTAGAGGCCTATGTTCAACAATGTACAACTCAGGGCTGATTGATGATGAATGATGATGATGATGTGAATGCGGAGACGTTTATTTATTATCTAATATATATATATATATATATATATATATATATATATATATATATATACATCTATATATATATTATATATATATATATATATATATATATATCTATATATATATATATATATATATATATATATATATATATATATATATATATATATATAGTGGAAATAAATCTCTATTTTAATTGAAAATAGGTTACATTTGAAATTGAAATTTCTACATCGGAGGAAACAGTTCTCATACACACAGGCATGCACTCACTCTCATTACTTTTTTAATATCTCTTTATTAAAAACTATATATTCAAAGCATATTTTTGCTCTACATTTTACTAATTGTATAAAATATTGTCATTTTTAGAGCCGAATATGCCATTCTTATTCGAACACTTTCAATTGGGAGCAAGTTCAGTTCTTCTTCAATGGAATAAACCTACGCAACCAAATGGTGTTCTACTTGGATACAATATCTATTGTAGTGAGATGGATGGCGACATCGTCAATGAAAAATCAACTATTAGATATTTTGTCACAGGAGTAGATAATTTTCAAGCAAAATTAACTGGATTAAAGGAGGGAACGAAATATTTCGTGGAGATAGGAGCTGTCAATTGCGCTGGAGAAAGTGAAAGGTACATTTTTTACGTAAGCTAAGATTGCTAAGACGAGATTATATTTTTTTTTTGAGGGGTTCCAACTTCATTTTTCCCCAGATCTTTTCTAGTATTAAATAATGTGTCTAAAAAATTAATACAAAATACAACAAAAAAAAAAACAAACATAGTATGCATGCAAAAAGGTAAATCAATTTAATTCTTTCTAAATAAAATAAAAACATAAATATTATTTTTTGCGTTGTCTAAATAGAAAACGATGATGGTTTTCCGACACGCTATTGACAATATAACGATAATTGTCCTGTGCGAAACATATTCAATTTAACAATTCCGAAAACTTCTAACGGTTGGTTTTGTGATATGTTTATTGTCATTGCAAAAGCCAAGAGCACGGGAAATTTTAAACGTTTAAAATTAAATGGAACGTTCCTTGGAATCATCGGTAGACGCAGGATAAAAACGTCCCCTCTTTTGTATTGTTTATTGATGAGCGGTGTCTTAATGATATTATTTATCAGCCTTTTCACAGTCAGTCTCGTTCCATTTCACAGTCGAGGTTGATTAATGTTACGCAGAATAACGATAACAGATTCTTCTTTCAATTGTAAGTTGCAAGGTGGGAGTCTAAGAAATTTAAATGAATTCAAATACTCTGTAGCATAGTTGACTAAGTCACCCTGATTTCTAACTATGTCAACTGATTTGAACAAAACAACTTTACTGAAATAAAATTCAGAGTAGTGTATTCAATCGAATATGTGTATAAAATATCATAAAAATTGGTCCTGTCGTTCTGAAGGAGTATGGCAACTAACTCTCTAACACTAATATGCCTATTATAAAATAGGGGTTGGTGATATAAAGATGAAAATTTAGGGTTGTTTGTATTGTTTAATGCTGTACCATAAAAATATTAAAATAAAAAAATTGTTTGGGATGGACCACTCTTACCGCTTAGCGGTATCAAAAACAGATTACGACCGATTTTCAAATCTACTGAATTACATAATAAAATTTCATAAAATTCGTAGAAGAGGTTTCATAGGAGTATGAAATCTTAATAGAATGCTGAAAATTAAGGGTTGTATGTATTTTTTAATGACACTTCATAAAAAATAAAAAATAAAAAATTTGGTTCAAAAAGTAAATGAATAGTTGAGGTGAACCACCGTTACTTGTTAGGGGTATGAAAAATAGATTACGACATATTCTCAGACACACTAAATACAAGTATAAAATTTCATAAAACTCGCTTAATCCATTTTGGAGGAGTATGGCAACAAACCCTGTGACACTAATATTGCTATTAAAAAATAGGGGTTAGTAATAGAATGGCTAGAATTAGCGCTGTATGTATTTTTTAATGCCACCTCATAAAAAAACTGAAATAAAACATTTTGTGCAAAAAAATTAAAATAAAAATGTTTGGGGTGATCAACACTTTCCACTTAACGTTATGAAAAATAGATTACGATATAACCTTAGACCTAGCGAATATATATGTAAAATTTAATAAAAATCTTTTGATTCGTTTCGGAGGAGTATGGCAACTAATTATGTGACACTAAATTGGCTATTAAGAAAATGATTAATAATAATGTGGTAAAAATTAAGGGTTGTATGTACAATTTAATTTAATTATTTAAAACATAAATAAAAAATGTTTGGGGAAATTTAAACTTAGACCCTTCCTAGGGATACGAAAAATGTATTACGACCTATTTTCAGACCTACCGAATATAATATGTAAAATTTTATAAAAATTGGTTGTGCCATTTCAGAAGAATAAGGTAACTATCTCTGTGACACTAGTATGGCTATTAAAGGAGGTGTAACAATTTAGGGTTTTATATATTTTTTAATGCCACATCAATAAAAAAAATGTTTATGGTGACCCACCCTTGATCCTTAAATTTTGGAGAAGTTTGGCGATGAACAATATATATATATATATATATATATATATATATATATATATATATATATATATATATATATATATATATATATATATATATATATATATAACACTGTTTTTGATGGGTTGGAGTCAATAAAAGGGGCTATTTGTTGACTATTTTTTACTCGAGCTTTCAATTGTGATTACAATTTTTATCAAGAGCTTCTAAAAAATACAAAATGTCTTACAAAGTTGAACTAGAAATAAAAAATTTTTTGTTAACTTACCAAATAAAATTAGTTTTTTATATAAAACTACTGCTTACATAATAAATACAAAAAATATTAATAAAAAAATGCCTTATTCTAATAAATGTTTCTCTGAAAAATTTAGATGAAGTTTCTTAAGAAAAAAAAAATTGAATTTATAAACAAAAATAGAATAGCTACAACCAGCCTAAGATGACATAAATACTAACTTAAAAATTTTTATTTTTGACATATTGTCAAAAATAAAATTTTGTTTAAAACATTCTTCTTTGTTAAGTAACAAAAAAGAAGAAGATTTATTCACCATTGATAGATGCCCGAAAAAATGTAACAAATACATGGAAAATTCAAAATGTGATATTTTATTGACTGCATAAATTAAATAGAAATTATATAATTATAAATTTTGCTTAAATTTTGAATTTCTGACCTTTTGTTTAAATTATTATCACTTTTGCTAATACAAACCATTTCCAAAAAAGTTCTTTTAAATTTATTACTTTCATTACATAAAATTTTAATATTATCAAAATCCATAATATGGTCTTTGTCTATTACATGCTCTGCCAAAGCACAAGATGGTTTCTTAATTCTACAATCACTCTTGTGAGACATAATGTGATTTGAGAGATTTCTTCCAGTCTCACCAATATACTCAGCTTCACACTGAGTACAAACAATGCTGTATACTACATTTGTTTGATCTAATTTGTCTATAGGATATTTAGTTTTGGAATATAAAGATGAAATAGTTTTGATGTTCTTTGTTGCTATTTTTATATTGTCAATAACCTTTAATGTTTGTATTAATTTAGGAGTTAATGACGGTATAAAAGGTAGTGAATGATAATATATGTTTTGATTGTTGGATACAGTGTTTTGAGATTTAGCAAAAAATGGTGTTAAGTTATTTATATTTAATAAATTAGAAAAAAGCATCCTATGTAGCATATCAGGAGGATAAGAGTTTTCAATTAAAATATTTTTTAACAAATGAATCATTTGTTAAAAAATATTTTAATTGAAAACTCTTATCCTCCTGATATGCTACATAGGATGCTTTTTTCTAATTTATTAAATATAAATAACTTAACACCATTTTTTGCTAAATCTCAAAACACTGTATCCAACAATCAAAACATATATTATCATTCACTACCTTTTATACCATCATTAACTCCTAAATTAATACAAACATTAAAGGTTATTGACAATATAAAAATAGCAACAAAGAACATCAAAACTATTTCATCTTTATATTCCAAAACTAAATATCCTATAGACAAATTAGATCAAACAAATGTAGTATACAGCATTGTTTGTACTCAGTGTGAAGCTGAGTATATTGGTGAGACTGGAAGAAATCTCTCAAATCACATTATGTCTCACAAGAGTGATTGTAGAATTAAGAAACCATCTTGTGCTTTGGCAGAGCATGTAATAGACAAAGACCATATTATGGATTTTGATAATATTAAAATTTTATGTAATGAAAGTAATAAATTTAAAAGAACTTTTTTGGAAATGGTTTGTATTAGCAAAAGTGATAATAATTTAAACAAAAGGTCAGAAATTCAAAATTTAAGCAAAATTTATAATTATATAATTTCTATTTAATTTATGCAGTCAATAAAATATCACATTTTGAATTTTCCATGTATTTGTTACATTTTTTCGGGCATCTATCAATGGTGAATAAATCTTCTTCTTTTTTGTTACTTAACAAAGAAGAATTTTTTAAACAAAATTTTATTTTTGACAATATGTCAAAAATAAAAATTTTTAAGTTAGTAGTTATGTCATCTTAGGCTGGTTATAGCTATTCTATTTTTGTTTATAAATTCAATTTTTTTTTTCTTAAGAAACTTCATCTAAATTTTTCAGAGAAACATTTATTAGAATAAGGCATTTTTTTATTAATATTTTTTGTATTTATTATGTAAGCAGTAGTTTTATATAAAAAACTAATTTTATTTGGTAAGTTAACAAAAAATTTTTTATTTCTAGTTCAACTTTGTAAGACATTTTGTATTTTTTAGAAGCTCTTGATAAAAATTGTAATCACAATTGAAAGCTCGAGTAAAAAATAGTCAACAAATAGCCCCTTTTATTGACTCCAACCCATAAAAACAGTGTTATATTTTTTCCAAACGAGTCACAAGTACTTCTTTTTTCTTACTCTTATATATATATATATATATATATATATATATATATATATATATATATGAACCAGAAGTATTTGCTGACCACGTAAGGAAGTAAACTTTAAATATTGGGTATGCTGCAATAAAAATGAAAGGTGTACTCTTTTAAATTTTTATTCCAAGCTTTCGGACATTGGTTATGTCCTTCATCAGGGAGCTACAAATGTGATGAATAATTTTTACAAATTTGTATAATTAATTAAAAATTCGATACTTACAAACTTAATGAGGTTGTATCATAAATGATTTTATAAAAATTGTTGATAACATTTATCACAGTATGTTGAGCTAAAAAATATTCTTATATTTAAAATTTTAAAAAATTACTTAACATTCACACAAACTTAATTATTTATACACAAATCTATGACATTAATATTGACATTGGCAAGTGAAAATCTCACATCCCTAATATCAAGCAACTGCTAGTACAACAAATTATAAGCTTATTATTAGGTATATCGTGGAAATATAAATTATTTTATATTTGTTAATATCATTAGGAAGTGAAACTTCAACTTGTCAATGTTTTAAAACAAAGCCTATTAAATTAACATAAATAAATAAGGTCGTAATTCTAAAAACGTTACAATTTATTGTGATTTTGTTTTGTATGACCCCAGTATCTGTGTGTAAAAT